CTCCGGCTGCGCCTCCTCAGGACTCCTGTTTTTTCTCCTCCTCGGGGTTCCAGGGCGCGCGCGCGCGCGAGGCTTTCACACTGAGTTCGCGCGTGCGTCTTTCAGTGGTGGGAGTATTCTGTGGCGTACTCCTCTCCTTCAGCCTTCCCCTCCTCCTCCTCCTCCTCCTCCCTCCCCTCTACCTCCTTCTCCTTCCTCCTCCTTTTTTGTTTTCACTTTCACCCCTCCCCCTCCCCCCCCCAAAAAAGGGCAAACAAAACTTTGGCATTGGATGGGCATTGCGCTGGCGAGTCCTCATGAATCCCTCCACAGACGGACTCCTAATGAAACCCCCCACAAGAACGATTCCGATTGAATCCTCCCACATGAAGGTTCCCGGGTGAAACCCTACACATGATGATCCCTATCGAAACCCTACACATAAGCATTGCTATTGAAATCCTCCGAAGAAGGATTCCTAATGACATCATCCACAAAGTATTCTTATTGAAATTCACCGAAAGGATTTCCCCATTGGCATTGCATTGGCATTGGTGTTGATTGGGAATGGATGTGTATCGCATCGGCATGCATTGGCGTGGTGCAGGAGATAGACAAAGAGAGAGAGGGAGAGACAAAGAGAGTGAGAGAGAGAGACACTAGATAATGATATAACGAAACAGAAGTTAGTATGATGGGGGTCACGGCGAAAAGACACATTGAAACAAACAATCAAAGTTGAAGGGCGAAAGAGCGTTTCACTCGGTTAAAAAAAAAAAAAACGTATGAAAACGACGAGGGGTTGCCTCGAGAACCTCCTCCTCCTCCTCCTCGTCGTGCTCCTCCTCTTTTTTCTCGAGGATTCGGATTGTGGATCCCCTCGGGGTTTTCACACTGAGTTCGCGCGCGCGTCTTTCAGTGGTATGCGTACTCTGTGGCGTCCTCCTCTTCTTCCGCCTCCCCCTCCTCCTCCTTTTTTGTTTGTTTCTCTCTCCCCCCCCCAGAAAAAAATAACAAACACAACCGTTTTCTTTCTTTTCTGTTGGGGTGGGGGGGGGGTCGGCGGCGAACAAAAAGGAATGCGACGTGGCCGCATCTGCCCTCCCACCTTAGAAGGATTCCTATTGAACGCCCCCACAAGAGGGATTTATAGTAAAATCCTCTACAGAAGAATTCCCATCGACACCCTCCACCGAATGATTCCTATTGGAATCCTCCACAGATGGATTCCAGTTGGAATCACCCGCAGAAGGCTTGATATTGAGATGCTTCGAAAGAAAGAACCCCCCGTTGGCACTGCATTGGCATTGGTTTGGCATCGCGTTGGCATTGCATTGGCATTGCGCTTAGCAGTGCGTTGCCAGTGGGATTGCAGTTCGCAGGCATTGCGCTGGCGAGTCCTACTGGAAGCCTCCAGTGAAGGACTCCGATCGAACATTTCTACCAGAGGAACTCCTATTGACGCCCTCCACAAAACGGTTCATATTGACAGCCTCCACAGAAGGATTCCATTCGAAACCCTCCACAGAAGGATTCGTATTGAAATCTACCACAAAGGATTTCCCCCATTGGCAGTGCGTTGGCAGTGGGTTGGGATCGTTTTGGCATTGGTGTGGCACTTCGTTGGCATTGCGCTGGTTTTCCGCTGGCGAGTTCCAACACCTCCCTTCGCATAATGGTTCCTGTTGGGCCCCCCACAAGAAGGACTCCGATTGAAGCATCCCACAAGAAGGGTTCACATTGAATTCCCTCACGGAAGGATTCCATTCGAAGCTTTCCATAGACGAATTCCTCTTGAACCCGACTACAAACGATTTCCCCCATTGACATTGCCATGCCATTGAATTGGGATCGCTTTGGCATCGGTTTGGCATTGCGTTGGTATTGCGTTGGCATTGCGTTGGCGAGTTCTAGTGGCTCCCCCCACAGACGGATTCCCATGACAGTTGTGCTTGATATTGGGATGCTTCGAAAGAACAAAACCCGTTGACATTGCATAGACATTGGTTTGGCAATGGTTTGGCATCGCGTTGGCATTGCGTTGGCTTTGCGCTTAGCAGTGCGTTGCTAATGGGATTGCAGTTCGCAAGCATTGCGCTGGCGAGTCCTACTGGAAGCCTCCACTGACGGACTCCGATCGAAACCTTCTACAAGAAGGACTCCTATTGACAGCCTCCACAGAAGGATTCCATGCGAAACCCTCCACAGAAGGATTCGTATTGAAATCTACCACAAAGGATTTCCCCCAGTGGCAGTGCATTGGCATTGTGTTGGGATCGTTTTGGCATTGGTGTGGCACTTCGTTGGCATTGCACTGGCATTCCGTTGGCGAGTTCCAACACCTCCCTTCGCATAATGGTTCTTGTTGAGCCCCCCACAAGAAGGATTCCGATTGAAGCATCCCACAAGAAGGGTTCACATTGAACTCCCTCACCGACGGATTCCATTCGAAGCCCTCCATCGACGGATTCTTCTTGAACCCGACTACATCCCCCCATTGACATTGCCATGTCATTGAATTGGGATCGCTTTGGCATCGGTTTGGCATTGCATTGGTATTGCGTTGGCATTGCGCTGGCGAGTTCGAATGGCTCCCCCCACAGACGGATTCATATGAACATGTTGCTTGATATTGGGATGTTTCGAAAGAACAAAACCCGTTGACATTGCATTGGCATTGGTTTGGCAATGGTTTGGCATTGCATTGGCATTGCGTTGGCATTGCGCTTAGCAGTGCGTTGCTAGTGGGATTGCAGTTCGCAAGCATTGCGCTGGCGAGCCCTAATGGAAGCCTCCACTGAAGGACTCCGATCGAAACCTTCTACAAGAAGGACTCCTATTGACAGCCTCCACAGACGGATTCCATGCGAAACCCTCCACAGAAGGATTCGTATTGAAATCTGCCACAAAGGATTGTCCCCATTGGCAGTGCATTGGCATTGGGTTGGGATCGCTTTGGCATTGGTGTGGCATTGCGTTGGCACTGCGTTGGCATTGGCATTGCGCCGACGAGTTCCAACACATCCCTTCGCATAATGATTCCTGTTGAGCCCCCCACAAGAAGGGTTCCGATTGAAGCATCCCACAAGAAGGGTTCACATTGAACTCCCTCACGGACGGATTCCATTCGAAGCCCTCCATCGACGGATTCTTCTTGAACCCGACCACAAACGATTTCCCCCATTGGCATTGCCATGTCATTGAATTGGGATCGCTTTGGCATTGGTTTGACATTGCATTGGTATTGCGTTGGCATTGCGCTGGCGAGTTCGAATGGCTCCCCCCACAGACGGATTCCCATGAAAAACCTTGCACACGAAGGGATCCTTTGGAAAGCCCCCAGATGAAGGATTCAAAGTGAAACCCCCCACAGAAAGATTCCACTCGAAACCCTCCACGGGAGGATTTCTATCGAAATCCTCCGAAGAAGGATTCGTAACCAACTCATCCACATAAGGATTCCTAGTGACACCTGTTGGAAGACAGAAATCCCGCCATCGGCATTGCATTGGCATTGATTTGGCATCGCATTGGCATTGCGATGGCAGTGCGTTAGCAGTGCCTTGGCATTGCGTTGACGTTGCGCTGGCGAGTCCTACTCAAACATTTTACGCAAGGATTCCTATTGAACACCCCCACAAAAAAGATGCCCATTGAATCCCCCCACAAGAAGGATCCAAATTGACATCCTCAACAGAAGGGTTCCATGCGAAGTCCTCCATAAAAGGTTTCTTATTGAAATCCCCCGAAGAAGGGTTCTTAGAAGGATTGCTATTGAAATCTACCACAAACAATTCCCCCCATTGGCATTGCATTGGCATTGGTTTGGCATTGCGTTGGCACTGCTTTGGCATTGCGCTGGCAAGTTCAAATGGCTCCCACCACAGACGGATGCCTCACCTTCCACAAGAAGGCATCCTTTTGAAAGCCCCCCACATAAGATATTCCTACTGAAACCCCCCATGGAAGGATTCCAATCGAAACCCTCCACAGGTAGTATTCCTTTTGGAATGTACCACAAAGGATACCCCCCATTGGCATTGCATTGGGATCGCCTTGGCATTGGTTTGGCATTGCGATGGCAAGGCTTTGGCATTGCGTTGGCATTGCGCTGGCGAGTCCTAATGGCTCCCTCCGCAGACGGACTCCTAATGAAACCCTCCACAAGAACGGTTTCGATTGAATCCTCCTACGTGAAAGATTCCTAGTGGAACCCTCCACATGAGGATCCTTATCGAAACCCTACACATGAGCATTTCTATTGAAATCCTCCGAATAAGGATTCGTATTGACATCATCCACCGAGTATTCTTATTGAAATCCACCGAACGAAAGGATTCCCCCATTGGCATTGCATTGGCATTGGTGTTGGTTTGGTATGGATTTGTATCGCATCGGCATGCATTGGCCTGGTGCAGGAGATAGACGAAGAGAGAGAGAGAGAGAGACAAAGAGAGACAGAGAGAGAGAGAACACTAAACAACGATAATGAGAAAATATTAGTATGAGGGGATCACGGCGAACAGAAAAATGACAAAAAACAATCAACATGTCAGGGTGAAAGAGCGTTCCACTCGATAAAAACCGTACGAAAACGACGATGGGCTCCACAATCCCCCAGCCTCTCCTCCTCCTCCTCCTCCTCCTCCTCCTCTTCCTCCTCCTCCTCCTCCTCCTCCTCCTCCTCCTGCCTCCTACTCGTCCTGCTGCTCCTGCTGCTGCTGCTCGTTGTCGTCGTCGTCGTCGTCCTCCTCCTCCTCCTCCTCCTCCTCCTCCTCCGTGGCCCCTCGGCGGCCCCTCGGCGGCCCCTTCGGCAGCCCCTCGGGCGGCCCCTTCGGCGGCGCCCTCGCTGGGAAGGGGCGGCCGGGCAGGTCCCACAGCGGCTCCATCCGAAGAGCACAGGACGGCACGAGCGGCAACGTTGGGAGGTCCGCGCGGATTTCGTGGGTCGGCGCCGGGCCTTCAGTCGAGCACTGCCCTCCACAGGAGGAGTTTCCAAGAATAGCCAAAAAACACCATAGGGACGTCTTGAGTGCTGTCTATTACTGGCTTTTTGTATATTTTCGGATGTCTTCCAAAACCCGCCTGCAGGAGGACATGCCCGACCTAAGCCTGGCCCCCCTGGTCCGGCACCCCTGGCGGCGCCTCCAGCGCCGCCCCCGAGGGCGCGCCGTGCGCTGGGTAAGAGGGTCGCGGGGAGGGCGGTCCCGAGTCTCGCGCTCCAGCATGAGCTCCGAGTTTTGTCGCTGAAGCGGTCCTCCTTTGTGATCGTTGTCTTATTCGTTGTTTTGCCGATCGGCGCGGGCCCTCGCACCCCCCCCTTTCTCCCCCCGATGGAGTAGATCTTGGCTGTTTTGGGCGCCTGCTTCGAGCAGGTGGAGTCTGCCCCATAGGACGCACTGTTGCACGCAATCACATTCAGCCGAGGCCCAGAGCCAGACCCCCCCCCCTTCCCGCCCAATGTCGAAACGCCGAACAAGAGAATGTTCATGTTGCTCTTCTGCCCGTGCGGCCGTACCTTGTCGGGCTCGGTGTGCCTGGATGGGCCGCCCGCTTCGTGGACGCCGTGGGCGTCCGGCTGAGCATCCGCAGGGACGGCGGCTGGCTGGTCGCGACCGACAGGACGCTCTTCGGGGAGAACACCACCTCCATTGATGAGCCAGTCTTCCACCACCACTACCACAGGTAGGACGGGGGAGAAGGGAGGATGGGGAGGCCTTCCTCCTCCTCCCCCCCTCCTCCTCACCCTCCCCCTCCTCTTTCTCCTCCTCCTCCTCCTCCTCCTCCTCCTCCTCCTCCTCCTCCTCCTCCTCCCCTTCTCTCCTACCTATGGTAGTGGTAATTGAAGATCGGCCCATCATCCATCGAGCTCGGCGCGCCGGAGGTGGAGAAGGAGACCCGCACGAAGCGGAAGAAGTTCATGCTCTCGGGGTCGGAGGGCCTGGGCACGGACGGGTCCCCAGTGCTGACGGTGCGGTGCAGGCTCTTCCAGCGAGGGGAGGGGTGGCACTCCACCCAGAGCTGGGCCGTGCGCGAGGACGGCCTCCTACTCGGGGGGCGCCAGCTGTGGGGCTCCATGCCTCACAGATGGGGGTCCAAGTATATGGATGGATGGGGTCGAAGGCTCGCCCCGCATCGCCGATGCATCGGCGATGCGGGGCCACCTTCGGCGTCGACCTGCGACTCGTGGGGGGGAATCGGGGATCGAGACGGATCGAGCAGGATCGAGGATCGTGGTGGATCCTCCTCCTCCCCCTCCTCCTCCTCCTCCCTCCTCCTCCTCCTCCTCCTCCTCCATGAGTATCCTCCTCTTCCTCCTCCTCTTCCTCCTCCTCTTCCTCCTCCTCCTCCTCCTCCTTCTCCTCCTCCTTCTCCTCCTGCCTCCTCCATGAGTATCCCGACCTTCTCCACGCTGGCGTGGCCGATGCCTCGTCGCTGCGCCGCGAGCCTCCGGCCCTGGCCTCCGAAGAGTGCCCGGCCCTGGCGGGGCCGAGCCCGGGCTCCGCAGGGGGGCGGTGTGAGCGCTCGCGCGCGCGAGTCGGGTATGGCCAGGACCCCTGGTAAGGGGACCCGGTCAGTGGTAACGCCCCCGAGCCCCTAAATTGGCCAGAATCACTAAACCAGGTCTGCCATGGCTGGCGTTTTTTCGGGTGACGGCAGTTCCGGTTAGTGGAAATGGGACGGGGGGGCGCCCCTGGTACAGATCACTAAACCAGGTTCCACTAAACCCAGTTCTGCCAACCCCGAGCGAGGGCGAGCATGAAGTCGGGCATGCCACTGCACAGGAGGAATATTCAAAAATAGTAGAACAATAGTCTGGGGACGTTTTTTGGTTTGTATTATGCATATATAGATATAGGTATATATATATGTGAACAAACATATACGTAGATATGCACACTAACATGTTTTGAATGTTTTTGAGGATCTTGTTGTTTTTATTCGAGGAAAATATAGGAGGACATGCCCGACCTAAGGCAAGCAGAGGTTCGCACACGCCGGCGTCGCGCCGGGCCCGCGTGCCCGGGATCGGCCGCCGCGGGGACGGGGGCAGGCACAGACCCGGGGCCTCAGAATCGAAGAAGAAAAAGCGCCACACGCATAATTTTTGGTGACGCTCCGCGCGGACTTCTTGGATCCGCGCTGGGCCCTCCCCGGCGCCTCCGGCTCCGCCCCTGGCGCGCTCCGCGCGCCAGGGAGAGGGGTCCAGCGCAGAGCCAAGAAATCCACGCGGAGCGCCAAAAGTTTATGTTTATGCCTTTGTTCTTCTACAGAAGTCGACACCTGCACCAAGATCCCGCGGCTCAACCACAGACTTTTCAGCATGGAGGGATGGCGCGCGGCCCCGATCATCAGAGCAGGGGGAAGGGGTGCCGGTGCGCTGCCCGTGAAATGATGGTCCAAATGCACCCCGAGAGAAGTCCAGGGAGCAGGTTAGAAGTATTGGTATGTGTACCTTTTTGTTCCCCCAAACCAGAGGAAACGGTATGTAACCGAATCGATGTGCGAGCGACTCGGACC